TATTCTATCAGCTCCGTATTATTTTTAAAAGCTTTTGTTATTCCTTCCATACTTATTGCCGATCAAAAGAGTACTTTGTTTCACAGCATTATTCTATAACAACCAGTTTGAAGATATTCTTTTAGCAAATGAAACCATGGGTCTTCTTTAATTAGTTATTTAAAACATTATTCTCAAGAGCTGAAGTAGACATAACTAAAATACATTTACCTGGTACTTCACTTTGTTCATTGATATTGTCAATTGTTTCCCTTGATTTGATCGAAAACATTACTTCTCTTTAATTAAAAAAAAAACATTACATCGAGGGGGAAAAATTAAATTTTATTATTTTTTTTTTTTTGATTTGGTAAAAAATAAATTTATATAACAGTTGATAAGACGTACCTAAATGTCATGTATGTTTACATATATATTTTCGTTTTTTGGACAAGCTTAGGGTATTAGAGTAGTTCACTAAACTGAATTAGTGATGTCCGCCGGCGCCCCAGCTGGGTGCAATTTGGCACCCTGGGCTATTGCACCCAAACAAACGCAAACAATAATGAAGAATATAAACACAAATGCAAACATAAAAGCATAGTGCTCACAGTATAGCACGGAGCGCCAAACCACACCCTGTCGAGACACCGGCGGAACCAACTGATTAAACTGTGTAAACTTCTAAAATACCTCATCTTACCCATAGTCTATTGAAGAGTTTAAATCGAATGTTTGTACCAAAGCACTCACGGGAAGGCCAGGGGCGCCTAATAGCATCCTATAGGGGTTTTGATTTAAAATACAACTATTGTAACCCTTTCTATTCTCAGCCTATCGTAGTTTTTAAAACTATTTAAAAAAGGCTTTGTGCTTGCGTTTGATTTAGCGTTCGTGTTTGCGTTTGTTTGTTTGTGTTTACTTTTGTGTTTAGGTTGGTTTGGTTTTGTGTTTGTTTTTCTGTTTGGGTTTGGCTTTGAATTCGTGTTTTTGCTTGCGTTTTTCTTTCTTATTGGGTTTGTGTTTGGTTTTGTGTTTATGTTTGTGTTTGCGTTTGAGTTTTAATTTAGTTAGTGTTTGTGTTTGTTTTTGTATTTTGGTTTTGGTTGTGGTTAGGGTTATTTCTAAAATTAATATATTTCCTAAGCTCTGGGAATGTTCTATTTACTAAACACACAAGTCATGGTCCTTTACACATAGGTTTTTCACTGAGGCCACTGCATAGCCTGGCTGAAAAGGCTAGTATTTTTATATAACAGTCAATTCGATTGCACTTTATTATACTTTTGATACTTTAAAAAGAATTACGCAAAAAATTAATATTTAATACAGAAAATATTGATTATATATAAACAAGTTAATAAAAAGTCTAGTGACAATTTAAGCGCAATTTCCTTATGTTATCCATAACAATTTTTAATTATTTATTTTTTTGTAAATATCATCCTATAAATATAAACTCCTACACGATGCTCAGTTTAAATCATCCTAGGCCTACACGATGCTCAGTTTAAATGTTCTTAATTAATTTTTTGTGACCGAACGAAAGGACGTTTTTGAAAACTTTCTTCGGCAATATTCGTCTAAATTATGGCAGGAATCGATTTGTCAATGTTTCAAGTCACTAAGTAGTCTGGTTGCCGAGATATGGAGCAAAAAGTGCATTTTTTTTTTGTTCGAGGTTTTTTGGCTTTTCCGGGAAATCCAGGAAGGAATTCCGGGAATTTTTTTGGCCCACAATCATCCTCGGAACTTGCTTACCATATTTGCTTTGGAACTAGTCCTCGATATTGCTTCGTTGAGGAGGGGATACGACTTAAAGACTGCGGACTTACATCCATCCATTCAGAAATGACGAGTTATTAAACGCAATTTTTGCCAGTATGGAAATTTCGCTAAAAAATATATTAAGATTTTTGAAAAATTTCAAAGTGGGTATTATAGAATAAATGTATGAAGTGTGCTTTTTTTTACTGATAAATTACCGTTAGGTATTAATGTTTAAGCGTGATCATTAAACATTGAAAATTTCTATGCACCATTTGCTTTTTTTTAAAATATTTTTAGCGAGCTAAATTTTTTAAAACAAATTAGTTCGTTGTCTCTGTCAACTTGCCATTTGCCCACTGTCTTCCCTAAGTCTCTCTTTTCCCCCTGTCTTACACATGCCTCTCTCTTGTCCCCTGTCTTACACATGTGTCCTCTTGTATCCTGTCTTACACATGTCTCCTCTTTTCTCCTGTCTTACACATGTCTCTCTCTTGTCCCCTGTCTTACACATGTCTCTCTCTCTCTTTTCCCTGTCTCCCCACAAAAGTCTCACTCTTTTTTCATGTCTCCCACATGTATTTCTCTTGTCCCTTTCGAAGATAGGCAGCTCAGGTTTTGTTCAGCAATTTGTTACTAGAATAGTCACCGTTGATGTTCTTTTTACAACCAGCTTGTTGAAATTTAACGTGTTTATTATATTACCGGCACTGAATGAAACCTTGGCAAATGATAGAATGCACACAATCTTTTTCTCCCCCTCTTTACAATATGTCAGTCTGTCATTTAATTATTCTATGGAATGATTAGGCAATATATATTTCATACTTTGACTGAATTGTAAATATTTCCTAGATATTCAACAAGAAAGCCGGTTTTTACTCATTAGCGATAACACACAAGAGCGATATACAAATCTGATATTCGTGGACTTATCAAAGTCTTAGGGGACTGCGTTGTCGGGTAATAGAACTCAGGACTGCTAACCCGAAAGTCTTGAGTTCGGACCCAGTACTCGAGTCTATTGTACGTCCTAGACTTCACCCAGCTTTAACGTAATTGGTGAATATTGCCACAAAATTTTCTTCGAATTTAACTTATGAAGACCGTGTGTTCACTGTTTACGAATGGTCCTGATATATTGAAATACCCGGTCAACTTAAATATTTAAGGCAAAAAGCTGGCTTTGCAGCCAAACTTCTGAGTAATCTAACTGGATCAAAAGCAGAATTTAACACAAAATGTACTAACATGAGCCGAAAATCCTCCAAGAGAATAAGTATTATGTAATAAAATCTAACCAACACCAGATGGGGTGCAGGCGATTCAAAACCATGAGAAATGCTTATTTAGGCGATACAAGGGGGGGGGGGGGGAATTGTATATTGGTCTGCCAATTTCAGACACTGCGAAAAGAACAGCCCTCGAGTAACTGGATATAGTCTGGAACTATGAGCCGTGTCTGATTATTGGGTCATACTGAACAACACTTGCTGCCTGCGAGATTATAGCAAACGTCGAAGTTTTTAAGATGAGGATCGAGAAGACGATCCTTACAATGGTCGAGAGGAACCAACCAACACAGGTAAAAATTATCAACACATATCATGCTAAAAGTAAGTCGAGCGCGGCTTAAACGACGCCATTTCTCAAATACAACAGAAGACCTGTAAGCTAAGTATGGTATGCTAAAAAAAACGTGCCACCATGTCGCTGGTACCATACAGCAATTATCCAAAGATCCAACTTAACCAACATTTTAGATTAAACAAGAGTGACGGCTTAATGGCGTTACAAAAATGCGGTTATCCAAGGGTATATCTGCAGGCGTATATGACGGCTTAGTAAATTTTATATATATATATATATATATATATATATATATATATATATATATATATATATATATATATATATATATATATATATATATATATATATATATAAAATTTAAACACATTAATATTTGTTGAAGTCTATAGCATAAGTAGACAGAAAATTATTCATCAGATTGATGTATTTGCAATTTAAAATTTTAAAATGAATAAACATCGTTTTAATAATACGTTTTTATGCAGTAATACACTTCTTCTTCTTCTACTTCTTTCTTTATTTTTAGTGTTGGGAGGGATCGAGCTTTATCTGCCAGAGGGTTTGAACTCGAGACTTTTTTCGAATTTATCAACCATGAGCTTTGCCGACTTGACCATGCTTTCATTACAATAAAGGATTACGTGTCAACTGGTTATGCGCCATTGAGGCCATTGGCTCGGATTTCAGCCTGCTTTTCTTTTTGGATTTGCTTCCATAGCCTTTGTCCAACCAAGAACAAACTACAAGGCAGCAGTTGTTTGATATTGGAGTTGTCTCTCCTAGAAGAGTGGCTGTCCCCAGCTATCAAGTCTTATCTGCTCGAGTGTTCGAACTCGAGACGTTTCGGTTAAGCAACCATGAGCTTTTACCGACTCGACCACGCCGACCGCTAAAAAGGTAGAAATAGATGGTTTTCTTTAATCATGAACTACCATTTATTCATATTTAAAAAACTGGAGTTATCTTCCGTAAGCGTTTTCGATTATTTTTAAGATGTAGATGGCAATTCCAGTGCAGCCGGAAAATATTTTTTTTTAAATCAATTTTCAAATATGCGCTCTTAAATGTTTAAAATAGAAAAGAATCTCCTGAAACAAAAAAGAATTGCGCTCAAAAAACAGCAAATAAACTGTGTATAATTGTGCGAAACTTTGGTACTTTATAAAGAAAAACAGAAAATACTAGATACAAATATTTTTTTGAGAAATCGCCAATACGACATACACAAACACACATACATACTCACATACATACACACACAGACATACTGACAAAATTGCAAAAGTATGTTTTTTTCGACTCAAGGAGGTGTAAAACGTCCAGATTTTTAAAAGTCTCGTTTTGCACAATTACAATGCTTACTCTATACTCGTGTACGAGAAAGTAAAAATCGGAAATAATATTTATTTCACAATTGTATAAAAATGCTTTTTTAATCATTAAATCAACACACAATTTAATGTGATGTCTCTATGGTTATTTTTAATTAACTTCGATGTACTTAAAAATTGTAATTTTTAGTTTTATGTAAAGGTTTTAAAAATGAAAAGACCTATTATATATAGGTTTCTTATAATTTTATTCAGTAGTATTGTTAAAAGGCAATTTTTGTAACCATTACAAAACCCAAACATGGAATATAAATAAACCTAGACAGAGCTTCAAGAAGGAACAGAACCCAGCAGCTCCTGGTTAAACAATTCAGGTTTCTCCATTTCAATCAAATCGTGTCTTTTGTGTGATCGTTTCTTGTGGCAGTTGAAGACGTCATACTTCAGGTCCAGTAGACCTCTGGTGAACATCAGGTGGGTCAAGCCGGACACGGTCAACAGGCAAAATGTTCCAGACAGCATGGAGAAGGTTCTAGAACACACATGATAAAGTCTTAGTTCCATGGAGTGGCCTATACAATTTTACAGCTACAAAATTGTATATGTAAACTGTGTTACCTAAAGGGAAATAACTGCGAGTCAGTGCTGTAGTCATACAAAGGGAACTTAATCGCCGCTGGAATTTGTAGCACAGCATCACCTGACAAGATCCGTAGTAGGAATGAGACGAAAAACCCGGCAAAGCTGCCATAGGTGTTGGCCCACGGCACCCACAGGACACACACCAGTTGTGGGAATAGCACCACGTACATCAGGTCACTGAAATATAGACATCTAGGTTAAAATACACACACCAAATGTGGGAATAGCACCACGTACATCAGGTCACTGAAATGTAGACATCTAGGTTAAAATACACACACCAGTTGTGGAAATAGCACTACGTACACAAGGTCACTGAAATGTAGACATCTATGTTAAAATACACACACCAGTTGTGGGAATAGCACCACGTACATAAGGTCACGGAAATATAGACATCTAGGTTAAAATACACACAAGAGTTGTGGCAATAGTACCACGAAAAAAAGGTCACTGAAATATAGACATCTAGGTTAAAATACACACACCAGTTGTGGCAATAGCACCACGCACACCAGGTAATTGAAATATAGACAACTAGGTTAAAATACACAAACCAGTATAGCACGCATACATTTAAATTAACGAAATATAATGTGTATTATTTCCCACCTGCAAAGAACAAAGAGCCCGTAGATCGTGGTAGCAAAAATGGCAATCAACGTCCCCAACACACCAAAGATGACGACACAAACACGAAGTACCCATAGTAGTTCTCGATCAGTCGCCTGTGTAAGATAAATATCATATGGTATGGCACAAAGTGTTTTAGTAACTAGCTTGCAAGTTATACTTGGCAAAATGGTGCAAAGACGCTTTCGTGTTTTGAAATCGGAGACTACCAATATTTATTTTGTTAAAATCGAACTTCAACTACTTAGTGGATAATGATACTTGTGAGTTAGGTGTGAAATATTTTTGAAATTGGAGTGACTTCCGATTTCATTTTTACACCTGAATTATTGAACGCCAAGGTATGTATATTTTAATTTTAAAAAGTCACTTTCTAATAATAGATCGGAACTCGACACTTTTAAGTTTTGAATCCAACGCTCTAGCGCTGAACCACGCCACCCACGAAAATGAGGAGAGTTTTTAACATTGCAAGATGCCAGTTAACACTTTATACCAAAGAAGTGTTAACTGGACGCGTATTGCTTCCACATAAACACGTTTCACAGGAACAAGATAGAACAAAATCAATCGTGACTAGATACACATTGTGTCAACTAAACGAATCCGCGTGTATGAAATTCACTATCATCCATAAAGGGTTTTCTATTCAAGTTAGAATACAATCGTTAAAATTGTGTCACACCTTCGTCCGTAAGATTTCCTGGTAAATGTTTCTAGTGAACACCGTCGCTGCAGACAGGAAACTGGAATCTGCTGATGACATCACGGCCGCGCAGATGGCACTCATTCCGATAATTGAAACCGGAAGAGGCACAAGATAGTTCAAGGTCATAGGCAGGATGTAACTTTTCCTGCCGTCTGGTATTGGTATCGGTCCGTCGTAGGAAGTTTGGTTCCAGTCTGGGAGGATTAAACAATTTTTTTTTTACCGACAGTGTACCATAATATTCAGGATATAGGATGAAGATAGAAGTTATCTGACGAATGAAAGCTCAACTGTTTTTACAGCAGAAGGAGAAATTTTCAGCTATACGACATTCAAAGCCGCCTTTACTTTTCCTTGTGTCCAATCAGAGTTGGATCACGTGTAAAAAAGTTTCCCTTTCAAACCTGACGGTCTATGGGGCAAGTGAAGTAGAGTTCACTTGTTTCTGTGACCTTGGTATATGAAGAGATATTGTAGTGAGCACTATGCTCAGCCGCCTTTACTTTCGCTAACGTTGGGTGGACTCAGGGAAGGTCTACTGATTTGAACCCGGATTCGAACTCGAGACTTAAAGGGTAGCTGTCCAGCTCTCTACCGCTAGACCACTCCGCTCAACTTTGTTTACAGCAGAAGGAGACATTTTCTGCTATATGACATTCAAAGCCGCCTTTACTTTTTCTCGTGTCCAATCAGACTGTGTTGGATCACGTGACATGCAGAATATTTGAGCACTTCAGCTGAACTTGTGTTTTAAGGTTTAGTAATAGAACTTAAACATTTCGAATTACGTTGTTGACCGTTAATGTCAGAGCGTGTATTGAATTTTTTTTTTTTAAATTGAGATTATCTGATTTAAAACTCTTTAAGCTAATATTGACATTTTTTTTTCAAATTTCTTGAGTGCTCTCCCATAACTTTGGAGTTACGTGATCTTTGACCAATATTTATCTTTGCCGGCAATAGAAAAAAAAAAGTTTACAACAATTATTTACGAGATAAGAAGCATTTTTAGAGTTACCTTTTTCCGGTAAAATTACATATACCATGCTTTTCATTAAAATTATTACTTCAACCTTATATTAGATATAATATTTTTTTTATTAAATACACGTTTCGTTTCAGTTTAGATGACCCTATTAGAGATTAAAAATAGACCTTTATCAACGGATGAAATGTAAGTGATGTAATGTAAGTATTTCAGGATCATGTTTGAATGTGTGTTACCTGTGGCTGCCCCAGCATATCCCATCAATGCCGGTGGGACGGCCATGACAGAACTCATGACGGAGGCGCCAATAGTGGAATACACGGCCACCCTGACATCTTGGCTGGCCAGTATACGCTGGTAGAAGGCCTGGGGAAAAAAACACACGGCTCAAGCATGCAAGCATGGATACACCTGGAGCATGAACAGCTGAGCAACTGGGAGCAGTCAATAGCAACACAGTAGACACACAAACATCGGAACCATCAAGGTGTGTAACGGTTGACAGTCACTTGACTGATGTCTCGGGTAAACATGATATTATGTTAGTCAATGTATGTAAGTATGTGTGTGTGTTTTTGTGTGTCTGTTTTTTATCTAGTAATTTTTTATAGTAATAAAGTATGCATAAAATTAAGTTTTAAAAAACACATCGATGTCACCTATAGTAGCAGATGTTTTTCCCATTATAAACAAAATAATTTTACTGGAATAATTATTGTAAATAGTTAAATTAATCCCCTCGTATTAACTTTATTCCGTTATATATATATATATATATATATATATATATATATATATATATATATATATATATATATATATATATATATATATATATATATATATATATATATATATATATATATATATATATATATATATACATATATATATATATATATTTACAAACAGGTATACATCTAAGTAGTTTTTTTTTGTTCACGTATCTTACACTCTCGACATAGCTCACCTCAATAAAGATCCTTTGATCAGCACTATTAAATAAAACCTACTCAATCGTGTACTGACACATACCTGCCACCTACTGACACCTACCTGCCATGTACTTACACCTACCTGCCATGTACTGACACCTACCTGACATGTGGTCCCACCAAAGATCATCAACAAAATCGTATCAATATAGACCAGCTCTGTCCCCGCCCCCACCTACCTGCCAGGTACTGACACCTACCTGCCAGGTACTGACACCTACCTGCCATGTATTGACACCTACCTGCCATGTATTGACACCTACCTGTTGCCATGTAATGACACCTACCTGCCATGTGGTCCCACCAAAGATCAACAACAAAAACGTATCAATATAGACCAGCTCTGTCCCCGCCCCCACCTCCCCCAGCCAGGTAGATGTTGTATTCTCCAGGTGAACAAACTCACTCGTCATGGCGAAGGGGCAGGCGATCACCTGTGACAAACACCAAACTATTAAACCTTGAAATAAACCGTTAACCCAAAGATTACATAATTGTTAAAATGTGATCTGACATAAACTTACAACTTTCGCAAACGTTAGTTTTAAAGTTCTAACGTATAACTTTCAAGTCCTACACATTATTTAGATTTTATTTAGCGACAAATACATATCTGTTTACAGAATTTTGAATGTAGACATTTTATTTTAAGATACCTTAATTAAACATGTGACCATTCATCAACCAGTGTTTCTTCCAGACTTTTTTCTCCGGGGGGGGGGGGGGCGGGGGTGGGGGGTGGGACACTTGATATGTTCGGGGGGGGGGGGGGGGGGCAGACAGTGGTAAAGTATGTTTTCTATATAAATTTCATTTCGTTCGGGAGGGGGGGGGGTATACTTTCTTCGGGTGACTCAGCCCCCATCCCGCCCCCACCCCACCCCATCCCAAAGAGATGCCTGGAAGAAACTCTGTAAGCAACTCGAATCATTCGTTTAATTTTAACAAAATAACAAATTCCTGGTTTTTCGTTATAATGGGTATCCTATGCTTTAGGATACTTTATCAATTTTTGTATTAAGAAAAAAATAACTTACTTTAGAAAAAAAATGTATTTGTTTAAAATACTATTTTTATAACCCTATTAATTGAAAAGAATCATGTTCCCCCAATGGTGGTTTTTATGGTAAGACTGGTGTGTTGAGAGAGGCTTGTCTATTTTTAGGATAAGACTAATCTTTTGAGAGAGGCTGGTGTCTTAGAGGGTAACATTGGTCAGTTGAGAGAGTTTGGTCTTTTGTATATTACGCCTGGTCTGCTGAGAGAGACTGGTCTCCTGTATGGTAAGAATGGTCTGTTGAGAGACGCTGGTGTCTTAGAGAGAGGGTTAGACTAGTTTGTTGAGATAATCTGGTCTGCTGTATGGTAAGATTGGTCATTTGTATATTGCGACTGGTCTGTTGTGAAAGGCTGTTGTTGAGAGGCTGGTCTGTTAAGTAATGCTGGTGCCTTTAAGATTAACCAGTTGAGAGGTGATGGTATCTTGATGGTAAGAAGTGTTTTGAGAGAGGATGGTCTGTTGAGAGAAGCTGGTCTGTTGAGGGTGGCTGGTCTGTTTAGAGAGGCTGGTCTGTTATGTGGTATGACTGGTCTGTTGTGAGAGGCTGGTCTGTTGAGAGAATCTGGTGTGTTGAGAGAGGCTTGTCTATTGAGAAATTAATCTTAAAAGCATTTGCTAAAGACAACTAACCATGTCGTTGAACATGTACCCCACACATTTTGTAACCTACGATAAAAAACATTTCTTAATACTCAGATAAACCCTCAGTCTAAAGCTAGTCGTTAATTAAAAAGTAATTAAATTTATTGCACAATTGTGTGGAAATATAATTCGAATAATATAATTGTATTGATTGATAATTAGGTTCAGAATGAAGATCTAGTTTCAAAGCATTGTGTTAGCCTAAAAAAATGTAAACAAATCAGTTTGGTTATTGAAAATCTGGAAATAGGCTACATTAAACAAACACTATTTGTTTATTATTCTTTAAAATGATAAAATGTAATAAAATAGCTGAACATAATTAATCAAATATCCTTACTAAGACTGCTGTGGTGTAAAATTGTGTCATTGCGGTGTGTGACTGCGTTTCGGATCAAAAGTGTACTGACAATTATAGCGATATTCGTTTTACGCCGAGATTTTTAGCGCTTGAAATAATAGGCGGTTTGTTCAAATGATTGTATCTCGATAATCATTCTACAGATTTCTATAATATTTTCAGGCATTATGGGGAATCATATTGAATTTTGGTTTATGTAGAAAAACAAAGAAAATCGAATTTTTTTTGAGATAGACGGTTTACGACCGAGACCATCGATATGTATTCTACTTTGTCGTTTAACACGTATGTGTGTTAAATAAACCGGGAGTGATCTCCCCTAAACTTTCTCGAATATTCTTATATAAAACAACAGGGAATGGGAACTCGGGATATAGTTATGATTTTTAATCCATTTTAAATACTTTAACTTTTTAAAATAGAATAGAATCTCATAGAAAAAAGAATAGCTAGTATAATGGTTACTTCCCCTGATTGACAAAATTCAAGTTATATTTGTTTTGTTTATTTAGCTCCACAAAACGTTTCTTGTAAAAAAATTTAAGTGGGGAAACGTTAAACAGTGTACTGTCATTTACCAATCTAATGTGTAATTATACATTAACCTGTTGGATTACATGGTACTAATACTTGGTTAAACGATTTTATGTTGAACTTAAATTAAAAGATTGTAACAACATTTTAAAGCGTTATGTAATTAATGGTTTCTATTAAAATTTATTTAAACGATACAAAAATTGGAACGAAACTGAAAACTATAAACTGTGTATTTTCATTGCAAGGAATAACAAACTTGTCAAGATCAACAATAGTATTTTACTATTCCTCCGTAAAATCTGGGTGCTTTCCCTTACTTTACCCCATGTTTGACTCCAGTGCAAGTTAACGATTATTGTGTCGTTCGCTGACTCATGCAGGGCCGGCGCTACCTATAAGGCGAACTAGGCGGTTGTCTAGGGCGCTAACCAAAGGGGGGCGGGCGCAAAAATGTGTGATTTCCATTGTACACAGACGTAGCGATCTATTTCGGTGCACAAGATGAAATATTAATTTTTCGACTCTTTCTCAACTTAGGCCTATATATAACTATTTGCATTCGTGAAAATGCCCCCCCCCCCTTCTCCGTAAAATGAACATGTAGGGGCGCTTTTTACTAGTCACTTTTCCTTTGTGTTTTGGTGTCACACAATTAAATGTAGACATCTATATTCTTCATTTAGACTGTATATAATTCAGTAGTGATCTTGTTTTATTATTATCTGTCAAACAAAATTAATTGTGGCACCACAAGATCCTAAACAGAATTTCAAAGTAAAAATTTTCTATTCTGTCTTGGATATGGGTTTACAGTCTTTGAAAGAGAGGTTCTAACAATTAGGTTAACATAATATTATATTTGGCTATCTTTATGATGTAGGCCTATCCAATATCAATATAATGACACAGGCGGATTTTCTTACGAACTACAAACATTTTAAAACATCGTTAATGCATATTGCTATACAGCTATTGATGCTGATGAACTATTTAACGAGCCTCAATTAGTAGCTTCCTAATCAGATGTTAAGATCAAATGTCTGTCGGGTTCTTCAATGTCTAGGGGTATCAACAGACACATACGAGGTAGCCTATACAACACTAACACTCTATGATAATAATAAGATATTTAATATATATATAAAATAATAAAATACCAAAAGATAAAATGGGTCTACAACACTAATGACAATACTCAACACCACGTTCCACGTCCACAGCCACACTACAACTAACTGCTTCACACACTGGTACACGCTCTGACACCCGTCACCTGACACACCTCACGTGAACACTTCTCGCTCACTGTAAACACACTCAACGTGACATCTAGGGTGACAAGCTTCATATATAAATAGTAAATCAAAGTTGCATTTTTATGTTAACTTTTCAGCGATTTCGATAACGGAAATGTAGCATATTCTATTTTCGGTTTTTAAAAAGTCTATAACTTTTTAAAAATGCTTTGATTTTAAAAATATCTTTCGTAGAGGTTAAGAGTGGATTGTTTTTGTTACGGGATGTAGTTTTTTGACGTTGTGCGCAGTGGAGTATTGGTGTGTTGTGGTTTCGGGGGAATCGAAGTTTAGTGAATTGTGTTTTGCAGCGTACGTGTGATGTGTACTGTATGTGTGGGTTTCGATGTGGTGAATAAGTGTGTCGAGTTTGTTGTAGGATGACTGATTGATTCGCGGGGTGATATGAGGGTCGTACTACATTGGATGTGGGTGTGTGGTGTAGGTTGTTATGCTCATGTTGTAAGGTGATGTTGATCAGGACGTGTAGTGTGGGATTGTGTAAGTATTGTTATACTGAGGGTGTGTGTGTTGTGTGATGTAAGTGTGGATAAGTTTATCTTTGGGAGAGGTGTATAGTGTTTTGTCAGACCTTGTACATGAATTATAAAAGTCAGTTAAATGTCTGATCAACATAATATTAATTACGCTAATTTGCAATTTATGAATTTTAAAATTGTCCAGGTCGGTCGGTCTGTCCATCTATCTGTTTCTTACAAATTGATGTCCCACACGTAAAAACGTCTATGTCTACATATAAGGGACACAACAAGCAAATGTAAAATTTTAGGTTTAATTGTTGTTACCTCTCCTTTTCTTTTATTATTTTTAACATTCTAAATCTAAAAACAATTACACAAGCTTTATTTATTTCACGGTATAAAAAAATAATCAAATTAAAATTTGATAAGATGCTGTGATTACCATGTTTTTGTAGACTCGATTACTAGAAACATTATGTTGAATTTTCACATTAAAATACGTGATTTAAATTGAATAATATTGACTCGTATATTACTTGCTAATATGTAATTTTTCGAAAAAATTTTTTTATTGAGGGCCGATATGGGTCTAAATCTATAACAAATCTATATTATCACTGGTTTCTGCACCGATGTCTATAGTTTAGGTTAGGTTTGCTTGACGTCCCACCTGGGACATACGCCGCTTTCCAGGCGTCTCTGTCCTGGGCTAGTCCAACTGTCCCCAGGTGTATCCAATCTCCTTCGTGTCTTCTTCCAGGTCACGTCTCCAGGTCTTTCTTGGTTTGCCTCTCCTCCTCCTGTCTTGTGGATTCCAGGTCAGAGCCTGTCTTGTTACGCTGGATACAGGCTTCCTGAGTGTGTGGCCAATCCATGTCTATAGTTACAGAATATTTTTTAAAGACTGCCTTTTCTGACGGATGATCCAAGGAGAAAATCATTTTGTAATCAGATGTTTTAGTGAACTCTGAATACGAAGAGTTAATGTAGTTAGCTATCCTACAGGCAGTACTCAATACTGGGTGGCTTCAAATGTTTGCTACTGGTCAGGTACTAATAAGGTACTAATAAGGTACTAATAAGAGATGGGTGGACTCAGAGACGTGCTACTGGCTAGAGACTGTAAATTAAACATTTTTTTTTTTTTTGCAATATTGTGATCTTTTAGTTTGGTGTAGTGTGCACCGTACTACATTTAAGTACACATTGCTACACTCAAATCCACAATACACAGTGCTACACTTAAGTACACAGAGCTACACGAAAGTACACATTGCTACATTTTTTGTATACACTGCTACATTCATTTGACATACACACTAGAACACTAGTACACTTACACTTTTACAAACTGCTGTATACATTACCATACACACTGTGCCAGATAAATACATGCTACCACAAGGACGTCAGCATTAATCTAATGAACAACCAATCACAACAACATCCTGACAACAATCACAGGAAAATTTAATTTTTGTCCATAAGTGCAAACACAAGAGCACAAAATGCTGGCAGCAAGAAGTCGCTTAACAAAACGAGGCACAGCAAGCCAATACTCAGAAAACAACTTAAAAGCTTTTGATAATTTTAATATCACGGTTGTATAATCAATACTATAAAGATATGGGTAGATATATAAACTATTTATTAAATATATGTCGCCATGTGACACACCATTTTGTGTTATAGTTAATTTTTGTTTTTTGTAAATTACGTTTTCGTCATTGTAATAAATGAACATCAATCTAGACAGGCTGTAGTAATTTTTTTTTCTAATTAACAATGTTGATATTTTTAGACTAAGATGCATGAAACAATAAATGACATTAATAAATCTAATGGGCCACCAAATACCCGTGCTTACATTCCTTCAGACCAAACTATAAGCTCCTCTCTCTACACGCTTTAAGCTCTTCAATTCCTACACTGTACGCAGTCTGAAATTATTTATTTAAAATACACTGACAATTTTTATAGTAGAGTTTTCGTTTGTTTAATTCTGCATAAAAACTAATTAAATTTAGTCAACATTTGAGCGATACTTTTGACCTTTATATAACAGTTAACCAATTCCAAATGTAATTATATTTAAACATCACTAGCGAACTCGCACAAAGCCGGATAGTTGTTGGCGCAAAGAGACGTGATCATCTTCCAGCTACGTGTCCTCGACAGATACATTCATAGCCTGTATTGTCTACTGGCTGTTCCTGAGCCCACATCAAAAACGGTGTTGTTGTCCCACTTTGCCTTAGTTTAAATTCTCCTGTAAGGAAATCTTTGTAGATCCCGATATAGACATAGTTGACATCGCTGGTGTTTGTGAGATACGCCAGCACCGCCGTGTATTTTTCAGCGTCGTCTATCTCCACAAGGTATCCTCCGTAAAACTTGCACAAATTCTCCGCAGCGCCGACATTCATGTAGACGTTTCTGGAAATTGCGATGGTCGAGTTGTTGTGACGGAAACCTGGACTAAAAAACAACGGTTGCAAGCATCTATCTCCGGCCGTGTTACACTGTTGTGTTGTCTGGCTTGTGATGGTCAGGACGCGGGTAAGATTTGCCAGTTTTTCATTGGCCAGCTTCAAGTCCTGTTCCAGTTGCCGGACCGTGTCCCAGATATCTTCTTCCTCAGGAAGTTTCATTGTGACGTCAGTTTCAGCCATCCAGTCGATGTTATGTCCAACAGCATCTGGACCTTGCACAGTACACAAGTAGTGTCCAGCCTGCAAATCACTTGGATGGTCCCAGTGTAGTTCCAGAAAAGAGTGACCAGTGGGTTGAATGGAACCGTTGGCGGTGAGACCTTCAGACGACAGGACATTGACCCGTTCACCTAGAAACGCTACCACTGAGGCCAGCTCTGTGTAGGGGCTGGAACTGTTGGCAGCACGTGATACGATGATGGACAAGATGGCGGACATGTTCTGCTGGCTGGTCTGGTTGACGTCACACCTAACGGTCAATGACGTCAGATCCAGGTCTATCACACCTGGGTTAGCAGATAGTTTAATGGCACCATCTGAAACATGGAAATGCTGATTAAGCCCCAACATATTGAATTATTTAAAATCTCTTTTAAACGTTGATGCAACACACTGTACTGACCTCCAAGACAAAGTAAAGAATTAAAGTAAAAAAAAAAACTACAAACAAATCAAGTAAATTTGCAATCAAGCATTTATTGTTACCCAAAGGTATAAGTAAAATATGTAATAAATGTATACCATAACACAATTTAAACGTACCTGCTGTTTGTATTGCAAACACAAAGTATAAACTTATTAAAGGTATAGAACTCATGATGCACACAAGCACGCACATCAAATAGTCAATCTTCTAGTTTAGTGTAGCACGATCTACTAATATAACAGAATATATTTAAGACTATGGTACGGACTAACGGACAATAAAGATAATTAATCTAGCGATATCGCAAAATGTGCTGAATAATTAAAAAACACAATGTACATTTCACAACCTCGTATAGATATCAACTGATAAATCTATATTTGGATCAATAGTCAGTGGGCTTATAAACGCATATTAATCGCCGTATTGTTTCGCTGCTTTTTAAGATGTTCAGTACGCGACCTCGTTGTCGTATCAATTAGTACATTTATATATGGATTATAAGTCAGCGCTTTTCATAAGTTCTAATTATTTACGTGCACGCGTAGCTGTAGTTGTAGGTTTTGGTTGTGGATGTGAGTGTAGGTTTGCGTGTACGTGTGCGTGTACCTGTATGACAACAACTGGAGCCTTGGTTTCATCCCTGTGTAGCCTAGTGAGTTCTAATAATTTACCTTTAATGTATATGATGTGACGATATGTTCTAGAATAAATTTGGTGTAATTAATATAATACATGATACATTGTTTATTGTTAAGAGAGGCACAAATTGGAGAAATTTCACTTTCTGTTGTTTAAGATATTTTGTTTTTTTTATAATATATACACTTCATGTAATATTCAGACACAATTCTTACACGGCTCAAAAGTGATATTTATAAAACAAATGAACGTGTACGTTGTGCTTTACATACAATAATCATTATTAAATTATTAATGTACTTTTAGCTTGGTTATATAATAAATTTTACTAAGAATGGTTGCCACTATTTCTTGTATATTATTCATCAAGTTTTGCTTTCTATAATTATATTCTCTAAAATAGATTTGCACTTCATTGTATAAAGCTAGTTACATTAAAACAACTGTGTTAGCAGAGTTTATACAAAACACATAATGTAACATATACCGACGGTTACAAGTTCATTAATAAAACGAAAAATTCATTCATTTGTATTTTATTTTATTGACGCTGCTATGTTGTTGTGCAGTAACGTTTCTTTGGTTCTTCTACAGAGAGCCGCTCATCTTTTAAACTAAGCTGGTAGATGGCATGTTCCATACCGAAATGACAGTTCACTTATATATCTAGTTTTTGATGATTCAAATAAATGATTTTAATGAATCTACTTTAGACGTAACAAAATAATACTAGCTACGTATCTACAACATGATAGCACTCACAGCATATCAGTAGCTATAAGAACGTCATTGATATAAGAGATGAAACATATTGTAAATAATTTCAATACATGTTATTCAAAAGGTATTATTGAATTAGGCCTAGAAACTTACCGGCATTCCAAACCTTTGCGGCATGTGTAGAATTCATCAACTAAGTTGCAGGCTTCTAGTTAAGGAACGCACGATGGTGTGTATCTGATATAAACATTCAAAAAGTAGATTTAACTCCAGGCATGACAATTTAGTATCGAGCGGTTTGAGAATTTTACTGTAATAAAGCAACAAGCAACAGAAACGTATATTAGAAACTATTTTCGATTTTGTTTTATCTTCAGGAATATGTTATCTAATGTTTTCTACAAAATACAAACACAATAGTTTTAGTCTAGTGTCGTATTTTGGCAAATGTTTAGTCGTAATCTGTCGGATTTGAGTAACATTGTAAAAACATTGTAAAATTTTGTAAACTTTTTTTTTTATTTTCACCACATCGACTGTCAAGTACAATAGCAATCTTGAAAATCGTTACAGAAATTCTAAATAAATCGTTAATACATATTTATAGTCCTGTCATAAATTTCATGACATTTCAGTTACAGACACAAACCATTTCATAAAAACGCGTTTAAATAGCGCTCCTCATTCGCCTTCATTTTCTGAGGCCATTGCTGAAAACCAGATGACAGATCGCAGGTTTATTATTAAAAAATGAATACATGTATTGACTTTTTTTATGAAACTGTTATTAATTTAACTCTATATGGGATAAATAGAACATTAGAATATTTTTAACATAAGAGTATGGTAATTGTTCATGATAAAAAAAACTCTTTAAAAACAATTGCCATTGTATCTGCTTGATTAAAACGGAGATTGGCAGCTTAAAACTCATCTAGTGTTGTAGTGAACACAGTTTATATATAACTGGGCACACACGTGTAAAATAAACTGTAAGATAGCTGCTATAAAAGTAAAGCAGAAAATCACGATCATTGATTTCATGTTGAACCTGCAATAAACAATACATTATGAAATAGCTATTTTAAAATGTATTTATGCATGTATGTATCTTATAAATATGTAAAAATACATACTATATATATTTATATGTTTATATGTATATATGTAGGCTATATATATATATATATATATATATATATATATATATATGTAAAAAGCAATGTATTTCTGTGTGTCTGTGTGTGTGTGTGTGTCTTTTATGCATTACTACACCTCTCATCACATCGCCGTCGAACTGTTGAGAATATTCCTCGGGAGGTTTCTGCGGGAAAAAAAATCAAATTTGTAGGGGTGGCGCCCCGGCAGGGCGCAATTTTGTTTTTTCTCTACATACGGTTTATAACAATAAAAGTCTATTTTTGTTTGACATCGTTCATCCGATAGACATGAGACTTTGGGGAGTTCATTATAACACTATAGGGAAGGGTTCTGTAAAAAATAATTTTTAATTTCGCAAGGGCGGCGCTACGGGAGGGTGCGATTTTCTCTATATACAGCATATACAAATAGTAAAAGTGAATTGCAGTGACACCGTTCAACCGATAGGCATGAAACTTTGGGGAGTTCATTATAAAACTCTAGGGAAGGTTCCTGTAAAAAATCATTTTTAATTTCGCATGGGCGGCGCCACGGGATGGTGTAATTTTTCGCCATATGTGGTATATAAAAATAAAAGTCGATTTTGGTTTGACACCATTATCCGATAGCCATGAGACTTTGGGGGAGTTGATTTGGACACTATTGGGAAGGTTTTGTAAAAACAAATCATTTAATGATTTAATGTTGCATAAGTGGTCCCCCGGCAGGATGCGATTTGGCGCCCTGGTCTTTCCCGTGAGCGCTATGGTGACTACGTTGGGTTTAAACAGTGTGATAGACAATGGATAAGATGGGGCGTTACAAGCGCTTACTAAATTGAATCAGGCGTGTCTTCTGGCGCCCTGATTGGGTGCGATTAGGCTGCAAATAAAAATGTTTCGGCCCCAAAGGCTCACATGGGCCGCTGAGGGCTATGTAATACGTTTTATTTTAATAATAAGAAAAATTATCCAAGGTTAGATTATTAACTGGAATGTTCCTTTTTGTCCGTAAAAAAAAAATTCAAACAGTTTCGCCACTTTGCGAATGATGCAACTAGCATCTATTTTTAGATAATCCAATCAGAAATTGAGATCGAGCATCTACGAATAGACTATTAGTAACGCTAACATATTGCATAAGTCACACTGATGTTTAAAACACGTCAGATAATTTTTTAAGTGTTAAATAATAAATCCTGTTCATTTGTGTCACTTTAGTGAATGACGCAATCTGTATCATTGTTAACAGGATGCTATTTGGCGCCTGTTAGTTTTAAGGAGCTTGGGGTCGTACGACGCGCCTATGCGGTAGTGTAATAGGGAGGGGGGTGGGGGTGGGGAACATCTGAGAGCGCCCCTCTACGTCTCATACACATGGGCGGTCACCGAAGTGTGTTCTACCATATTATTTTCGGATAGTTATTAATGTACACTCAAAATTTTCATGCGTTAGTGTAGGTAAACCCGTGTCCCAATATTTATGATCCAAGCGCAGACATTGTTTACATTTAAATAACTCACTTTTAGAAAAGACGGTCACGCGTATAAGAACATATTATTGGTAACGCGTTGGTGAAATCCTTCTAATATATTTCGTCAAACTTTCTTCTATCCCCGCGGCAACGTGCGGGGACGGTACACTATATTGAATTAAATAAGAACAATGTTTTACTGTATTAGTTTTCTAAAATGAATGTAAAAAGGTGTATGCATATATTTTTATATTCCTGACCTCTGTAAAGCTGAACTCGTTTTGTTGCAACAAAGAAACGACTACTTGCACCTGTGTATGCCTGTACACCTTAAAACGGATTTAGCTATGTAGCCGGAATTTATACAGTTTGATCACGTGATCGATATCAGCTAGAGCAGATTAGAGTGTCTAGTAGCTTAATTTGGAACAAGAGAACAGGGATATGTTATTGAGGAATAATATTTTAGGTGATCATTATTTATGTTTATTTCAGATTTTTTTTTTCCTATAGGAGGGGGGGGGGGGTGGAGGAGAATGGATTTGATACTTTTCGTTAAGCAGGGTGGGGGCGGACTAAAATTTCCGACGGGGGGAACAAGGGTAAAAGTATATTTTCTATATAAATTCCAATACGATCTTTTGAGGGAAGCGGGGTGGGCAGTGGCGTAGCGAGGGGGTGGGCGGGGGGGGGGTGCGGATCGCACCGGGTGACACCATATAGGGGGGTGACACCAATGCAAAAAATAGCAAAATATGTAGAGAAAAACTTGAGGACGGGGGGCAAATCGAAAGTTTGAGGGTGGGGGGGGGGGGTGCTAATCGAAAATTTGTCCCCGGAAAAGGTCGCTACGCCTCTGGGCTCTGGGGGGGGGGGGGTGTGACACCATTAAGTGCCGCACCGGGTGACACCCGACCTCTCTACGCCACTAGGGGGGGTGATCATAGACGTCCCCCCCGTCCCCCCTGTCCCTCCCCACCCGTCCCCCCTATACCCCCCCCCCCCGACCTCCCTGTCGCCCGCCCCCCCCCCCCCCCCATCCCCCGAAGAAATGCCTGGAAGAAACTGATCATTATTTGAACATTTATTAAGTCGGAAACACGTGGTTGTATGTAGATTACACTCACAATGGACAGCGCCTCTGCAGTAATACCACTTTAGCAGCTGTTAAATTTATTCAATATTACAAAGAGCTACTTTAATATAACATGTTTGTGTTTGTTATATGATGAACACTGTAAGATCTCATTGTCAACTGT